GCATGCACACATTCTTTATTGATGTCACGTACAAATAGTTGACTGTAATGTCGACGTAGCCTGCTCATCCAGCGAAAGTAAAAAGACAAAAAAAACAAATCTAGAAAAGTAATTTAAAAAAGTATGTTGCGGCAAGTGAAAAACTTCCATCCATAATTGTTTTACTCGATCCATGTAAACGCCCTTAGGAAAAAAATCACAAGCGGCCAAATATCATATTTACTGTCGTGTATGCCATGTTGCTCAACGCAAAATATTTAGGGAAGTGAATAAAGTCGATTGCTTTAGTCATTTAATTTTTTCTTTTTACACCCACCAACGAAGGATGGGTTTATACTCCTCTTATCGTAATGTTTGCAACACCAAAAAGGAAGCTTCAGACTGGGTTGATGCTTATTACTCAGAAATTATGAAAGATAGAAAGATGAAATTATCTGCTTTTACTTTACGGAGAACTCTACTCTTTATGTCCAAAAACGAATAATATCGGTCCACACAAATTTATAAGTGCTTAAAATTTCTTTTTCACCTTCTAGAGGTTTCACGCTTACTACTTACATTTACACGTTCCACAAAAGAACATATATTATCCGACTAAAAATGCGACTGTTGTAAAATAAATATGGTGGTCACCTCGATGTGGTGGTTTCATTTTTTCCTAACATGCCCTCGATGTGGGCAGAGTAGAATGTTAACGCTAAACACGTTAATTCTAACTTAACTATAGTGGACGTCACAATGTGGTGGATGCATTCTTTCTAAGCAATACCTGTCAGTGAACTACAGGGTCGGGGATAGACTTTATCCGATTCACTTTTTGTATTTACTGTAGATTAAATGAGCAAGCTTTGAATAGTGGTGGATATGCTAGGTTTGGCAAGTTCTTACTTACTTCATTTGTCATCCTAAAGTCACTAAATGTTTATAATCTGCAACAAAACGTACAGCACACGTCATTCTCACATTGTGTAGTAATCCCTTTTACACATTAGCTTTTCAACGGATTGTTGTAAATCTTATCCCCAATCGCCAGTTGCATAGGCTAATTTACTGTATGACATTTAAAAAATTGAATTCACTAGAAAAACGGGTAGTTGCCATGCGAACTCATTTTGTGACATGAATGGTTTTCGTAACCATAATATAGATTAGATAAGCATTGGAGTGATTGTAACACTCTTGGGGGAGACAAAAAAAAAAGAAAAGATTATTAACCGATGTATTATATATGTATATCTAAGCGGAAGACCACAAGCAATTTATATATTTGCCTCCAAGTTACTCTTTCAAATCGCTTATGCAACCTATCATAATTTCGTTTGCCATTTCATTGCGTTTCCTTCTTTGCTGAGTAAAACTTACATCAAAGTACTACAATCGTATTGGAATTTCTTATCTGCATTAAGAATGCTTATGTATTCGATAGCCCGAGAGGAATTGCAAATAGCTTTTAAAGTAAACAAAACAGATTATTTATTATAACAAGCTAAGGACAAAAAAAATAAAGGAAAAGGGAAGTTTTCAAATGATTTTATCCCCAATACATTCATTATTATTTTAACCAACGAAGCATAGAAAAAAACGGAAATGTGCTTCGTACATACAAGGAATACCTAAACAATTTCTGTTGCTAGATATAAAATATAAAGTAAATATGTAAGAAAATTTCGCCTTCTGGCGAATCTTTGACATTCCCCTTTTCAAGCGAACACATTGCTATTGAAACTTTTCTGTTAAACGTGGAACTATTGCTACCGCGGCCGGCCTTAAAGTTGGAAATTTATATATCGGGTTTTCTATTAATATCTCTCTGACGTAATAAACTACATTTTGTAGCTTAGCGCAGGTGTATTAGTGGACGGATCATGACAATATTTAAATATGATTTTTGCGGCTGTTAATTGTTAGGTTCTATATGCAACTAAGGATTTTCTAGCTCAATTTTTGCAAAGGTGAACCTTTCAAGAAGTAACGGCAAGAAGAAGTTAATAGGTGAATTGACGAATCAAATTATGCGGTAATTAAGCATTAAGATCTATTTCAGGCTAATACGAATGAAACACCTTATCAACCTTTTTGTTTCTTTCTTTAATACAAGCCACTCAGGGGGTGTCCTCTGTGATGCGCAGGCACGATGACGGTGGAGAAGGGTTCTAGGTAGAGAAGGTAGAGGATGAAAAGAGAGAACATCAGGCGAAGCACCGTCTGCTAGTAGATTGCTCCAAAAGCGAGCAGTGTGATTCAAAAATGGCGAGTCGCGGTAGCGTCTCATGCGATATGCAGACAATTCGACGGCGATCGCGTGGAGACGTTGAGCATGCCTTGTTAAAACACTTAATTGATGGCCAAATCTATTTCATCTCAGTAGAACACTTGCCCTGACCTATACATAAGGACAACGCAGCTCATATCACGCCAATGCGCAACGCTATCAAGAGTTTTGGATATGCTTTCGCCGCCCGTGAGCGCCTGAGTGCTCCGCTGTATGCAGTGGGGCGCTCTCAAGGAAAACTTGGAGGCTCCCGTTTATACGTGCGAGTTATACTCTAATTTTGGCCGGATTTATGTGGCATAAACGGTATAGATATCGGCTGCAGAGAAGTATTTTTTACACCGCTTTAAAAAACCTCAGTCCTTGACTGCATATTTCGATAGTCTGTCCAACAAACATCGATGTGCATTCTCAGATATTAGTCCACACCCAAGCTCGAGTTCAGTTAAAGCGCTGCAAAAGCTGCTGCGGGCACAAATTCGTCGTATGGTCTGCAAAACATATCTGTGGTCCTTGACTAAGCGCGAAATTTTCTTTATGTGGGTAAGACAATACAGTCAGTTTTAGCCAAATGCATTGATGTCAAACCAGTGTGTTATAATTATAGCATTAATTTTGTTCAATGTAAAGTTTAAAAATATAACATATATATATCCCGGACGTTTAATGCTTCAATTAAGTATAGGAATACTTCGAATTGAATCGGTTTTCGCGCCACAAAATGTTTGACATCATTTGTAAGCTAAAGAAAATATTAATAAGTTTTCATTTATTTTCCTTATTTTTTCACTTTCTTACTAAATGTAGCCGTAAAGGAGAGTTACATCAGGACTAAGTGGAATCATATGCAAATTTCTACTTTCCATCTCATCTTTGGAAATTAATAAAAACTCAAAGAGCAAGTTTATGGGAATCTTACATTCCGGTGCTTTTTTTGGTGTTTACACTTCAGTGGGGAATGACAAATTCATCTCGTCATTTCATCATTTTTCCCATATCCTTGCATTATAAACGCTAGTTATGCAAATAACAAGACATTCACCATTTTTATGACGGCTTTATTGTCTCCATAAAAAATAACTAACCATATTCAGTTGTGTTCGCACACTTATGCTTCTGCTGATTAATGCGAAAAGCATTCACATACCAGCTTACCATCTGTCATCGAGGGACCATTTGCCTGGTAAATACCAAAGAATGGCTTATCGTTTGTTGCGACATTTACAAAAAGAGCTGTGTCAAGCAAAAAAATGCTCAATGTTCAACTAAAACAAAGACTCGCGGATATTTTTAAAAATTAAAAAGATTTCATGGGAAAAAATGACAAGCAAAACAATTGACGGCAGTTGCTGACGCTTTCAAATTAAAAAGTGCCGCAGGTCCGATTAGCTCTTTAATACCGTTCAAGGGGCATAAGTGAATATGGTTTGGTGTATTGCAAAGACATTAAAACCCACTAAATAATAGGAGAGAAAGATTTTTTGTTTTCAGCTTAAAAGGCAATTCTTTTGAGTAAACTTTTTAAAGGTTCTATGTAGGAATTCAGATCAAAAAAGGCTCAATAAGATAAGAAAATACTTGGAACTTTTGAAGCCGGAAGTAAATTCAAGATTCAATTCATCGATATATAACAAGTTAGGTGTGGACTATTTCGATTATTTCTTACTCGTAGGCGATGTTCAGCAATCGATTACAATCAAAAAAATTACGTAATATTCTTAGAAAAAAAGATCACTTTTTCCTATGAAAGCGAGGAATTTCATTTGGCGTTTTATTTGACGATGGAGGAAGATGAGAAATAATAGTAGAGTGCGAGCATTTTTAAACCGACGACATAAGTTCCTTTCTTCCTTCCTATTATAAAAATGGTTTCCTTCATTTCTTCTCCGAAGTGTGCGTTAGTATGATGTTTAATAAACAGGAAAACCATATTCTTGATGTGGCGGGCTTTCAAAAATGTTGCGTTTTAAATTTTCTGACGAGAGATTGGAGACTAAGCTAATGAGTTGAGGAAAATTTAACTTTATCGCTTTCCCATAAATCCTAAGAGTTGGCAGAACCTTACATTTTGTTTCTGTCACTGACGTAAATTGTAAAACCGTCCTGAGTGGAATATGTTGAATAACCCCTCGTTTAATAACAAGAAGTCCAAACATGCAAATATTTGCAAACAATTTTCACTTTCTTCGTTGGTCCTCTCCTCGTAGTTTTCCTTTGCTGAAGAGGTAGAATTCAAAATCTTGAATCCCTGCTCATATTCCTACTACATAAGCGCGGAGCCAGTGGAGAAAGTGAATCCAAAAATGCGAAGCACATTGGTGAAATAAACATATTTAACTGACAGATTTATTTTAAGTTCATCCAAGTGAAAAGCGAATTGATTGCGAACCTTTTTAACAAGTAAAAACTTTAATTTGTGTCCTATTATCTCTTTAGTAAGTTTTATAAATGTTAATTGTTACCACAGGGAACACATTGTTTCACAGTTTTCTTTTTCGTGCAACGTAAACATGAGTAACATGTGCGAAAAATAAATCGAGTCATTGATTTTTGTTTTTTTTTTTTTTTCCTTTCATTTTACCATAAATTCTACAAAATGAGAATTGTGTATATTGATTGCTCTCATCTTATACGTAACCTAAAGGGCAGACATGCTGCATATTATACACGAAATATAAACATGGATTTACTAATGTGTGCAAAAAAAAACGTTCAATGTGGTACTTACAGGTCCTATATTATCAAAACCGTATTTGCTGGCCACTTTATGAGCGAAATCATTGTCTACTTTACGCCGAAAACGGACGAGAAACGAACTGGTAAAAACGTCATTTCCGCCTGAAATCACTTTAACATTATTGCCTTCTCTATGGACGGGTTGTGCAGCGACCTTAACGTCGGCCAATGCAACCATAAAACTGAGAGTGCACAAAATCAGCAGGCCCGTTATTGGGTAGACGCATGCTGCTAAAATCATTGCACGCACTTATGAAAGGCAATATTTTCTTTCTAATTTCTTTCCTTTTTGTTAAGATATAAGTTTTAAGATGTTTGAACTTATTATATCACTTCTGCTATCGCTCGGTCCAGTTAATCGCGAAAGTAATTCAATCACTTTAATAACGTGGCAATGAAACTAATAAAGGCATGTGTTTACGGCTAAAAGTAGACAAAAACTGAGTTTCTTCTTTTAACAGATAATCGTCAAAAGAGCAATAACGACTTCGCAATTCTTTCAATTACTAAAAAAAAAAATATACATTCTTTCTTAATTTTATTTAATTATTTGCATTTTCTCTCTATAGTCGTTGACATATCTTCCGGGATACAAATTACGTGCACTTATTATTATTAAAGTTCTCTTAAAAGTAGGCAATGTTTTTTTATTAAATTCAAATATAGTTTTTATTTATAATAATCTTTTATTTCTTCTTTCAATTTTCTTTTCTTGCGCTGTAGTATTTTTTACATATATGTATATACATACATTGATACATATACATAGATATACACACATATATATATATATATATACAGTATTTTATGCGCCTAATATTCCATTAAGTAGTACTTTACAGTTACGGTTACCGAACGAAACTGTTGGTATTTGCCTTTGCCGTTCGTCGTTATGAATAATCATTTAAAAAGCACATAAGAAGAAGACAATCAAGTTGAAAGCTTTTAAACGAAAGCTCTACAAACCGCTTATAATAATTCATATTGAAAACTCTATTAAAAATCTAAACAACCCACACCATAAGTGGAACAGATTTTCAAAAGTAATGCTAGCGCGCTCATGGAATTATTTTTTATATTTTTTATGATCGCTTGTACAATTTGCTTTTACAATCCATATATATGGTTTAAAAGTTTCTACTCTCATTTGAAAATATTCTAATAGATAAGATAAACAGATTCACTTAAAAAGCGGAAAGTTTCCTTCATATAGTTAGTCTGTCATCCCAATAGGCCTCAAAGAATCAAACGAAATCATTCAAATCTAGCCATTATGTGGACATTCTTCCGTGTGAGTAGCGGAGTAGGTAAGACCCGCAACTATCAAAGCAGTGTTCGTGGATTCGAACTTCAAGTAAGGAGACTTTTCTTTAGACGCAATTGTAGTGAGAACTTAGCCGATAAAGACGTAACACTTATCGATTGGGCGCACACTATCTATTGAGCTACGGCCACCACCTCACTATTTGCTACTCTATCCTCACGGTGTTATGCGTATAGCGAACATCATCCGGTTGTATTAAAAAACAACAAATTCTTAGCTTAATGAAAAACTTGCTAATTTTGTTATGTTTCTAATGAATGAGTGAATGTCGTGAATTTGTATCGACGAAGCAAAGATAAAAATTACAAAATTTACTTTGAAATTTATATATAGTTTTTGGTAAAATTTTCTGACGAAGGTTCACTTCTTTGGTTTGTGTTAAAGTTTTATTGGTATGTCTGAGGTGAGGTGTATTTGGTGATTCCTGCTGTCGTTATTTCCATTATAATTTGTGTGGGAGCTATCATGACGGTTGATTAAGTAATTGTTTCAATTGTTCGCCCAAGTCCTCTATTTATTCCTGGATTGTCAGTGCGAAAATTTGGCTTATTTCTGTGTTCTGATATGATAACACTGTTACCGATTGCTTCTGGACAACTGTTCAAGAATTTTCAGATCCCTTCGTTGAAAGCATTAAAAGTGCCCGCTTCGATGATAAATTTGACCTTGTCGATGAAACAGTTTCGCATCGTGGCCCTGATGACCTGTTGTGTGGCATATTTGCTAACAGCATCCTCTAGTGCTTTGGCAAGTTCTTCAAATTCATTTGCGTTCTGATTGGCCACTTTATTCTTTTACTTCAAATTCATGAACTTAGCTGTGACCACATCTACTGATCCGCCTTTGATTTTGTTCACCATTAATAACATGTTTATTCAATATAAAGAAAGTCGAAACATCAAGAAATTTGGTTAAGTTAATTGCACGGAAGGTCACTTAGTCTGGTCGTGGTCACCGTCTCATTTGGCGACCGCCTTGGAGGTGCAAATACAGACAGTGCACCATGCTTCCCTTAATTAATTACTACACCGCAGCTATTATCCAGAAATAACTTTTTAGTAACTTTATCTAACTTTAAATGGTCGAGTCAAGCTTTTTCGCCGTCTTCAACAGATGACAACATCGCTTGAAGTTTGGCCTCGGGGAGAGCTGCACGTTTCTTATCTCCGTGAATAGTAATTCACATGGAATTTCTTAAGGAAGAATATTACCAAAAATGTTATCTCCAACAGACGTTCCCATTTTAGTTCACCGGGAATGGTATTGAGCAGTTAAACGGTGTGAAAGCAAAGTCAATAACTTCGCTTATTAAGCCAAATCAAGGATTTTTTTAAATAAAAAAAGTTTTATTACAGAACTAATTACAACGAATTCAAGGGCTAAGGGCTCTAAACGATTGATTCAGTTGGGACTTGGTCTCACAACTTCAGGTGTAGGCTATATTAATTTTTTACGAACGTTCGTAACACCCAGAGAGGTTTCAGATCGATTCAGAAAATGAATCTAAGCCCGTCTGATGCATGTCCGTGTGTTCTTGTGTTCAACCCATAGGTCGCAGTTTTTGAGATATTTTGATAAAATTTGGAATACTGTCTACTTTGATCCAAGAACGAAAACAATTAATAATGGTTCGGATCGAACTGGTTTCCCATGTAACGTCTTATTTTGAAAAGTCGTTACATGAACAACTGTATCGAACGAAATCCAATAAAATATTCCATCATAGACCATTGCTCACTGTAATGTTTTTATTTATTTTATTTCGTGTTGAACAGAAAGGGAAGTAAGCTCGAAACGATAACAAAAAATTGATAGATTAATGCAAGTTCTACATAAACTCTGAATTGGCAATGGGGCTGTGATTACGGAATTGCACATGCGCAGAACTCGACGCACCTCTGGTCCAAATCTTGTTCTTCATTAGATCCCTCCTCTCCGAGATACGAGATTCCTTTCCGACTCTGGAACTTGATATCGCGCTAACTCCATATTTACAAATTGTGTTTAGTGTTAACTATTATTTCATTGTATGTCTGCCCAAAATTGAATGTTTGGGCGGGAGCTCCAAACTTTCCTTGTAGATCATCAATCGCATGCAGCGAAAGGCGATACTCAGGGGCGACGAAAGTGTGCCCCACGGCAAGTCTTTCACAGAGATAAAAAGGTTTGTGCACCAATTAAGTCCTTTAAAAGGGCTACACGATTTTTTCAGCGTTCCCGACCAGTCGCCCTGGAGTTATTTGCACACCGCACAACATAGTAGCGCGATTCGTCTTTCTCCTGCTCGCCTTTGGAGCAACCTAGCAGCAGTGGGCATTCCCGTCATATCTGATGTAGCAATTTTAAAGACGAACGTTCACAAACGGTAGTCCCTCTCTCCATCCCTCTCTTTCTAGTTAAGACAAAGTAGTATAAAAGCTAAATGTAATATGAAATAATAAAAAATTTAAGTTCGAATGATCCTCAACAACTCTCCTTGACAAAGATAGTGTTAAACCTTTGCTCTTTCTTTTTCTGTCTCGTGCCAATTACTTATTATGAAATTCCATTGATCCATGATTCATTTTCTATACAATAACCAAAAACTTTCGCCTACTTAAACGTTTGTTATATAAGTAGAAGGCTTTCGTTCGTTGGAGAGAGAGAGAGAGAGAGAGAGAGTGAAACTTATGCAAGGGATGTATTTAACATGTTCCGCATTAGTTGAGCGCAGTTTTTGAAATAAATATTTGTTCCCAGAGCTAGGGCTTAATTATGGTATACAATCTCCTATTATATGAGTAAATTTTATTTATTAGATTTCAAGCTATTTTATATGAATAGTTAACAATGCAAAAAAAAAGGAAAATAACATCCCGCGATTAGATTTAAGTTTTATTTATATATTTATTTGGAAATCTACTAAGCAATTGCTTCCACATAATATAAATTTTTTTTAAAATAATGATAAAGGAAATGAACAGAAAAAACTCATCGACCACACGCTGACAAAAACCGTTTGTCAAAATAAAGGAATAAACGCCAATATAAATAATTCAGTAGATGCAAATGTTGATCTGTGATGAGAATTTATTCCAGTCATCAATACATTCAGACAATCACTGTGCATATGTGTCCATATCGAAATACTACGCATCTATAAGAGGATAAACTATTGATTATATTTCAACTAAAATCGTCACATTTACTATGCAAACATAACGGTTTTTGGCACTCTCGATATGCACATACAGCGGTCTACTCATGCATTAATGAAAATGTATTGAATCGTCTATCAAGTATATCAATTATTATGGAGTACTTTTTTTCAATGTTTAGCAAGAACGTTATGGACGGACAAGATCGACCTTTCAATACTCTATACCGCTTTACCTGGTACAATTTTTCAGTCATTTGATAATAATACACCAAAAATTACTTATTGATTTCATACAGAGGCGTGCCCTTCATGAACGCCCGCAGGCGGGAGGAGGCCAAAAACATCACATAGTATAATCCATATTTAACAAACATAATTTACATCCCAAAAATTTGATTATTTTTTAGCGTTCCTCATAAAAAAGAAGAAATTATACTTTGTCTCCATGTGCTTTTCATAATAATCCCTATATTTGTATGGGATTTAAAAACTAGATCTATGCGATCATATTAGGTACCGTTATTTTTTTTTTTCTAAATTGTTTATTTGGACCAATTATTATCACAAAACATTAAAAATTAAAATTTCTCCCGAAGGGATTAGTACTCATTACAAGTCTCATAAGGGATACGCTTCAGGAAATGGACCCATGTGGTTCAAATCGTATCCACTTAACCATTCTTATGTCAAATTACTATTAAAAGATTTCAAAACCATTTTCAATAGCGTTCGTCCTTGGATCACAGCACGTCATATGTCAAAAAATTTCGACCTGTATGTTGAACACAAAAATACATCGACAGACATCAGACAGGCAAAGAGCTTAGTTTAGGTCAATCCAGAAAACTATTCAGAAAAAGTAAATGGTGTGACTCTCTGAACCCTTTTTGAGTGTTACGTACGTTCGCACAAATTAAATATACTCTGTACCACAAAGAGGGTGTCAAAACGTGTAAGTCAAACTATTAGATATAAAGTGGCCTGTAGATGATGTAATGTGTCTCGATTTCTTTTTTTTTTTTTTAATCTAAAAAACAAATCTTAACTCTTATATAATTGTCACAAATTTGTTGATCAACGATTGAAGAAAATTATATTATAGCAAAAACGTAGAAACGCTTAAGCGGAACTTATATTGAAGCGGAAATCCCCATTCCGACAGATTAATATCGGTTTTCATAAAGGTCGCAAAAGGCCGTAAAGGCTCCATAAAAAGAAGCGCTTAAAAAATTAAAAATACACCTTTATATCTAAGAACGAACGATGTGAGATGTTGTTTTTTGCTAGTGTCTAGGGTATTAACATAGATAACATAGATGTGCAAGGCTGCTTCATTACTTTAATTATTAAAAGCAACTCTACTCTCTCTCCATTCTCCACACCTATTACTTTTTTTATAAACCAAGGATTTTGGAAAAAGCAACCAACGGCTTTTAGCGAGACATGAAGAGCATTTCACAAGCGCTTCATGAAAGATTTTTATGAATAATAAGAGTTCATCACGTTTTAAAAACATAAAACCTTACAGGTGGATACTTTTTGAAGTACTCTCGGACAAGAAAACTCTTAATAGTCTTCGGTCTTTGTAGAATTTAAACGATATTTTTGGTTTTTACTTACAAAACCGTTGCACTCCCCTCTCCCATACAGAGGTAGTAATCTTGTAAATGTAATAAAATTACATTTGGATTATTCGAAACAATGGAACAGTCTATAAAGTTTCTAAATACTCATGACGAATTCATTTGTAATCAGGAGTCGTGAATCCTCGTGATTCACTTCTAAGGCGATTTTTTCACTTTCCTCTCTTTTGTTTGCAAATCATGCTTTTTATTTCGTTGTTTACTTTTGTTAAAAAAGCGACACGCAACCAAATGGTTGTTTATAAATTGAAAAAAGATTATATTTACAAAGATACAAATCCAAAAGTCAATATATAAATGAGCGACCGCTTGTTGCAATGTATTTGAACTTCGAATTTGGTAACTTGAGAGAGTAATTAAATGAGCGAACATTGTTGCAGTGATGACAGTCAGATTTTGTCATTGTTCGTAGTTGGCGTAAATTTTGACATTAACGTTCAATGTTTTAAACAGCCTTTTGCCAACGTATTAAAAAAGTAGTTTTGGTAAATAATTCATCGGTATTTATATTAGTAATTTTGTTTATTTAGAAAACCATTAATGAATGGATTTTAGTTTGTATTACATCTAGAGAAGTTAGCGTCCGCCGCAAAAAGTGATGTTTGCGGAGGTTACGCCACATTTTTAATAGGAAAATAGATGCGGCCGGGAAAACATGCGCAGTGCAAATGCTTTTTTTCCAATTAATTAAAGCCTAGAGCAGATGCTGATCTAAAATTCTAAACTTTTTGCAGTGCTCCACTTACAAATACTTGCTAACATCTTTCAGAAAAGCCATCGATGCTATTAGCATTCAGAAGGACATACAGAGGTGGTAAGTTTGCAAGATTTCATTATTTTATTTAACGTTGGAGTAAATCAATAGATTAAACCTATTTTATTAAATTAAATTT